TGTGAATATTTCGTATTTCTCTAAAAACAAAAAATTATCGAACAACAACACACGACTAACTTTAATCTCGCAAATTACCAGGCACCCACGGTAGCTGTCGCACCCATGAAGCAACAAAATATTAAAATACTCAAGACTCGAGTCTCGTGACTGTTGGCGCGTCGCAAATGCGCCTTTGTGATTCAACCGCTGAAAATTCGTTGTTGACACGCTAAACAATTTGGAAAATGTAAACATTTTGTTAACTACCAACACAACAAAACACAGCGGCGGCAACAACTCAAACTTCAGCTAAACTGAAAAGCCGCATTGGGGCAAATACATACATATAAATACACACACAGATGCAAGCGCACACACTTATACGCTCAAGCAGGCTCTCGAAATATTTGGATGTGTAAATAAACTTCACATCTATGTGTTCACCACATACACACCTTAATTACTTACTTACTGATACATACATAGTAGTCAAAGTTTATTTTACAGCACACTCACGCATACAAACAAAAACAGTTACATATTAGATAATATTAAATGAAATAACTTTGATAAAAGTAAGTCAGGCAAAAATGACAACGATAGCACAAAAAGAACGATAAAGAAACGCACAATATTCTTGTTGATGGAGAGCTAAAGGTAAAGATGATAAACGCTGTGATTGGGCCACAAGTGAGTTTAGTGGTTGGTGCGACGAGAGTTAGTGTAAGTGTGTAATTTTACGCCTCACTAATTTATACGTTGAGCCTGCAAGTTAACCCTACCAGACAAGCGACTACGTTGGCGTTAAAGCTAAGTGATTTGGATGAGTGCAGAGTTGCCATCTATTAATATGCTAAGAAAAGGCGTGAAGGTATTTTTTAAGAACGTACTGGGACACTTAACTGAAAACAGATAAAAGAATTTAGAAACAAGAAAAAGCGTAAACTTCGCTTGCACCGAAGCTAAAATAACTTTCATCAATAAACAAGTTATGCTAAATGCTACAAGGTGTTTTCCAAAGTAAACAGGACTTTAAAAAAAACAGAACAAATCGTTTTATCGGCAAAATCAATTAATTTTATTGAAAATAGTCTCCTTCTGGTTTAAAACAGCTTTTTGCACGGTCCAAAAGCATATCGAACGAGTCTTTTAGCTCGTTGCCCGGTACGGCCGCCAGTATGCCAGTGCAAGCCTTTTGAATGGCCTCCACGTCTGCATAACGCTTTCCTTTCATCGGCAAATGCATTTTTCTGAAAAGGTAGAAGTCGCACGGTGCCATATCAGGTGAAAACGGGGAGTGGTTGATAGTTAAAATATGATTTTTGGTCAAATAATCGGCCACCATCCATCTTCGCGATATTCGGGCCGAACACGTCGAATACGGCACACCAAATGCTTCAAAACTCCAAGGTAGAATACCGCATTAACGTTTTGGCCGGGTAGAACAAATTCTTTGTGGACAATACCCTTGGAATCATAAAAACAAATCAGCGTTGTCTTCACTTTTGACTTCTCCAGGCGCGCTTTATTGGGTTTTGGCTCATTTCTCATTTATGTCCTCACGACCATTTTGAAAACGTTGAAACCACACGTGCACTCTGCTACAGGATAGACAATCATCACCATAAATTGTTTCATCAATTGAAACGTTTCGGTAAAAGTTTTACCAATTTTAAAACAAAATTTAATGTTGGCTCTTTGTTCGAAGCTCATTTTCGCACCGATGACAAAAACATAATGACACTTAAACGCAATAACTTCACTTCCAATAGATGAAATGTCATGAAATTTTTAACTGGAAGTCGGTAAAGGATAACAAATTCTACTAGTCGACATATATTTAAATGGTGCCACTAGAGTTTACTTTGTTACTGTTTTACTGTTTACTTTGGAACGCACCTTGTATAGTGGTCCGCTCTGAATAATTTGCTCGAAGATTGTACTGTTATTTTGAGAATAATCCATGCCAAATTTTGTGAAGATATCTAGTAGAATAAAAAAGTTTTCCGTACAAGCATTTGATTCCCATTGCCTAGTTTGTGTAGCGGCTATATGTTATAGTGGTATAAACAGGCGGAGGGACGGACGTACATGGTAACATTTGTGTAACGAAAATCTAAATATTCAAATTTGGTTTTCGAAACTTTTTATTATACAATCTTTAATGCATATTTGATATATGTATCTTTGGTGAATACAAGTGAGTGGTGGAAAAACTTGTCTCCAAATATTGACGAACCTCTCTTAATATGTATACGCTTCTCAGTTATCTCGTGGTTTACGAAATATCATTAGACGGCAAGCGGCGTTACAGCACGGAGCCGAAACGCGCAATAACTTCAATGCTTAATAGCATAAGCGACCGTATGAATTTGTGTGGCATTAATTTAATTTTATGTTTTTATTTTGTTATTGTTGTTGCTTATGGTATACGAAGTGAAAACTTTGTTGTAACTGCGAAATTGTGGTACAGGTTGAGAACTCGTGTGGCAAGTGGGGTGTTTTGTGTTGAGTGTTTGTGTGGCACTTAGTTAGCTGAGACCACATATTCAAATACATATACGAGTATGTATGTATATGTGAATATTTTACAACTCCACTCTAGAAATGCCTGCGTGTGCACTTTCTGTAAATCATGTCACACATTTTCCACTTTGCCGACGTATGGGTTAATGCCATTGTGTCGACACTTGTATTCATTCAGCCATTTTCACTCACTTCAGCTGTTGCAAGAGCTTAAAAAAAAACGGAAGAAAACTTCAAACAAATCACTGCTGTGGCAGCATTCTACTCTCCTTCCAATCGTTTTTACACATGCCTACATACATATCTACATGCCTAAGTGGTACAGCATTTATAAGGACATATAGGAAAATGTCAAATATAGCCGCAGAGTTGTTTTTTCCTGGAACAAAGGAGTTTTTAAACCACCAGCTAAAATAAAATTTTCTCTGGTAGTGTAAAAATAACTGAGGTCACGAAAATATTTTAGAGTGCGCCGAATATAAAGCAATATAACTGTGTTTGTCGAACTAAGTGTATAACCAAAGTTTTATATATTAGGGCAGTACTTAAAATAATCCAATGAATGCACACATGTATAACCACATGAAATTTACTCGTATATGGTATATGTTTCATACCTTATGGGCAGTACATAAACAATTTATGAATATTTCTTTATTTAAATTTTGAAGCAATTAATTTGTGAAAGATAACATAATAATAAGAACAGCATTTTGCTTTGGGGATGGCTACTAAAGCCAGTATCTTTGCAAAGCATATGGTGGCTCTTATTTTAAGTTTTTGACAATCACTCTTTAAATTAATTGTCAGCATTGCGCAAATTTTGTGACAGAAATCGTAAAATGTAACATATGGAGGTAGGTAAAAAGGTTCTTCATTGAATGTAAAATCAGTAAATTTGAACTAATAATGTCAATTAAGTTCAATTTTGGTAAATTGTTGAATTAGAAATGTTGATAAATAAATAAAAATCAATAAAAATTGCTTTCGGTAATAATCCGTGCCGAATTTCTTCAAGATAGCTCGTCAAATGGAAAAGCTTTCCATACAAGCACTTGATTCCGTTCGTTCAGTTTGTATGGTAGCTAATGCTATAGTGGACCGATATCGGCCGTTCCGATAAATGATCAGATTCTTGGTGAGAAAAAGATCTGTGTAAAATTTCAGATCGATATCTCAAAAACTGAGGGACTAGTTTGCATATATACAGACAGACAGACGGATACATATACAGTCAATAGCGTCTTAGGCGTTTCCTTTTGGTTGTTACACACATCGTGGCAAACTTAATATACTCTCTTCGGGATATAATAATGTATAGATTTTTCTTTAAAGATATTCAATGTATTCAAATACCAAATATTGAGAATACTGCAGAAAACTCATCTCAAGCAGTAGCCAACTTTTGACATTGTTGTATACTATATCAAGGGATAGTAGTAATACATAATTAATAATATAGGGTGACTTTCGATTTAATTTTCTCTGATTAGTATCCAATAGCCATTTGTAATCTCTATATTTTTATGTACGGTAGCCTAATGTCTACATTAGCTTCTCTAATAAGAACTAAATATTTTTGTTTAGATATCTTTAACTAACCTAAGCTAACCTAACATCTAATTAAATTCATTTCACATTTCAGCACCACCCTAATATATACCATAAATGGGTATATATAAGAGTTGTGACGAAAATCCGAAATATTTGTTTCTGGGTAAGTGTTGGACTCAATGTTTTATACATACTATTATTCAGTAGCTTTAGATACACATACAGACAGCTTTTATGTAATTCGAAAGTAAGCTTTTCAGCTGCCGTTCTCAGTATATTCTGATGTGTCATGGCATTTGGAAATATGTTCACAACTTTCCTGTAAAAACATTTAAATACATTTTTTTTTTCAGGAGAGAAAGCTTTTGATGAGTCAGTGATTTTTGACCATTCGCAAGGTGAGTAAGACTGCGAGTTAGCTGAATAAGTGGCAACGGCGCATTGTTTAGTTGAAAATTTAGTTTAGAAGGTTTATATTTGTGCTTTAATTTAGCGTTTGGGTCGTCTAAGCATTTTGCTGCGCATTAGCACAGGCTTCATGGACGCAAAAATCAAAAAGCTAATTAATGATTTTTTTTTCGTATATGAAGTTAGTAAAGCAATTTATGTTCGTAATTTTATATAACAGAGATAGAAGGCAATAAATCTGATATTTGAAAGTTTTTAATGAAGCAGTGGAACTAGTTCTCAGCTTATGTATTATAAAACCTGATTGCTGAACAAATTATATGATTCAATTTTATTGATATAATTAATTGATGGGACAGAATAACCAAAAGTTACTTCAACAAAAAGTTAAAAATTATTAAAATAAACTTTAAAATAAAATCAGATTTAAATCTAGAGATATTCATAATGTCAAAAATATTGAACAAAATAAAGAAACTCCAAATTAATAGCTATAAGTTATTTGGTATAGAAATGTGTATAAAACTTACATAAATTGTCCATAATCGTTAGTTACTAGTTCATATTACCTGAAAGAAAAATTAATTGATTAATGAGCGTTTTCAAGATTTTAATATCTTTGGGTGTTAAATAGGAGTGTAATGACTTTTTAAAAATAATATAACTTCAAAACGTAATGAAGTCCAGCAAAAACGTATACTTCGGTTGCATCAAAGTTATAATACCCATCACAGGTTAGTTTTTTATAGCATAAGGGGTATTAAAAGATCTTTTTCTTGATTTTGCTCAGTCCGTTTAAATGGCAGCTTTATGCTATATTGCTCCGATTTAAACAAAACGTTTGGAGATTATAGCGATATCTTGAAATTTTATGAACATAACATGTCAAACAAAAAATATTTCTATAGAAGGGCTTGAGTTTGTGTAGTTAGTTTAAATGACAGCTATATGCTTTGGTGGTCCGATTTGAACAATATGCTCGGAAATTGTAGCGATGTCTTGAATAATAATTTAAGCCGAATTTCGTTAAGATACATTGTAAAATAAAAAAGTTTTCTATACAAGGACTTAAGTTTGAGCGGTCAGTTTTTATGACAGTTATATGCTATAGTGGAGCACCATCTTGGTGAGAAAAGGACATGTGCGAAATTTCAGTGTCGATACAAACCTGTTACAGGTTGGACACTTTTTGAAGTAAGAGGGCAGTTAGTAGAGCAAAGGTTTTAAAATGCATTTTATAAAATCTTCTCATTTTTAAGACTAAATTTCGATTTAGTACCCAGTGACCAGTATATTTCTCTGGTCTTTATCTTAAGCTTGATTCCTTGATTGAAATTGACGCTAGGCTAATCACTTGTTTTCATGGTGAAGGTAACGTATGCTGACTTTGTTGTATTTTCCATAGCTTTCCAATTTCGAAGCCAGGATTATACTTCGTTTAGTTGTTTTTGAATAGTTTCAGAAGCTTCGTTTGCGGAATAAGCGGATGCAAGATTGGCAGTGTCGTTTACGTATGTAGCAACAGTTATATGATCGACAATTATTATTGGTATATCGACAGTGATCGGAACACTTGCATTGACTTCGTATACATTAATGTGTGTAATCTAAGCATGAACTAAGAACCAGATATAGTGGTGCTGGCAGTATCATTTTTATTTAAAATAACAGACCCGCATGCCAAATTCTGTTAAAAGCTGGTGGAATGTCTAAGAAAACTGCCGAACAGTACTGTTTCTCGTCCAGGCATTTTAATATGGTGTTAACAATTCTATGGCACTGTTAAGGTGTTCCGTGTAGTTGCCTGTGTCCAAATTGATAGTCCAGGATGATCACGGATGGGGTTCCAGAACCGTTCAAATAAATGTTATTTCAAAAATTTTGGAGAATATTTTCAACAAATTTATTGGTCTGTACGAAGATAGATTGGCTTTGAAATCAACATATAGTTTTAGGGCGTAGAAACGCGTAGGAAAGTGGCTAAGTCTAAAACTACAATTAAATATTAATACTAAAAATAGGAGACAAATCTTTGGCAATTATTCGATTTTCCATGCATCAATATTACATGGATTAGGTAATTTAGAATTTGTCAAACGCGACACTTCTGCTTGCACTTCAAACAGTTTTACGTAAGACATTGCTTAAACCATTTGACATGAAGAGTCAAGAAAAGTTTAAATATACTCTGAGGCTTATAGTCACTATTAAGGGCAAATGACTTTAAAGCAGTCTTAAGGCGTCGGCTCTTCTTTTGTTTGATCTACAAAACGAGTTGTCTGTATCTTTAACTATTATTTGTTGCTACGGAGAACATTTTAGATATTTGCTAGCTCACCATCGTTTACCATCATCATTTTTATTTGGAACGTTATTCTTAAGAAATTCTGCTAAATATTCTGTTTTCAGCGCTGCCAACTTGTAAATAATAAAGTAGCTATAAATTGATTATGTTGGGCGTAAGCTTGCAGGATCACACTTTATAACCGACGCTTTCATCTCTGCACTTTACTGTGCTGCTAATCTAAACTAATCCGTGTACTCAGTCAAGCGGGATTAGCTGCTGCAATCATGTCAGCATGTCATGTCTTGTTAAGACTTTTCTTGTCGCATCTTAACCCATACAGTTTTTCGCACCGCCTTATTGCCGTCACCCCGGACGCCCTTCCATCATTTGTCACTTGTGCGCTCTCGGTATGTGCAGTTTTTATTTCATTGCATAGAAATACATGTTCTCTACAACTTTATGGTGACTGCAACAAATGTCACGTATTTCTGGTCACAATTTGTTTTATGCAGCTACTAACGTATTCAGTGTATAACGCGAAACCGCAGAAATAATAAGAGCTAAAACATAAAAATTGTATGTGTGTAACATACATAAACACTATATATAGATTAACATATGTATATATAAGGGTGGGTCAGAATAATACAATTTTTTTTGTTCGCTTGGTACTCTGAAAAATAAGTTCTTAGCCACCTCTATTAACATCTCTAGTATGTATGAAGTATGAAAATGGTTGTTAATTTTTTTTCTTTTAATGTTTTTAATATATTTTTTCTTTGATTTTTGACAATGGAGTTAAGCTTAATCGAAAAAATTACGCAAGCCAATTTTGTAGAGCATTCAATTTCATACAAAATCTATGAATCGAGATATTTTTTCAAGTAGTTGGGAGCGAAATATGAATATATTTCTATCTGATAATAACAAAAAACAATAGAAAACTGTATGGCGGAGCACCTTAAGCTCATACTTTCTACCAAGCGAAAAAAAATATTCGTAATTTTTGACCCATCCTAATATATATGCATATATGTGTACGAGTAGGTATCTGTAGAACAATAATTGTATATATATATATAAGTAAATATACGTATGTATATACATACATGTAGTTATATAGAAGTTAGTGGCAAGCAATAAAAGCTTGTTCTTGTGACTGCGAGCGAATTACATGAATTACACTCTAAGATCGCTGCACACAGACAAACACACATACGTGCGCGCACGCATACACACATTCGCGCTTTTGAAATTACTTCTGCATTCCTTTGGCACGCGTTCGCACCCAACAGCTTTGCTCTGCATTTTTATAGCTCGCAGCCACTTCAACTACTTGCCAACCACCAAGACAAGTGCTTGTTCTTCTGTTTCGTGCCACGCATGCAGCAGCGCTTCTTCCGTCTTCTTGTTTATCACTCAATGCTTGAGCTTTACAGTAATACACTAAATCGTACATTTAGATGAGTTTCGCAGTGTTTGGAATATTTGCAAATTTTTATTGTGCGATAAATGTTGTTTTATTGCTAAAAAGAAACTTATGGAATGACGCGTGGCATAGTAAAAATAACAATAACAATAATAATATTGCACTTATGTTTGATGCTTGCTAAAGGTTTTCGGGAAAATTTTCACGTTTTCGAAAGCGCATTTTTTTTGATAACTATTTATGTGGCAACTCTATACCAAACTATTTTTAAATTGAAGCTTTTCTTAGGTATGTGGTATATCTGGCTTAAATTTTGTAATATATTTTGTATTTTTAAGTTTTTTTACAGGTGGCATCCCTATTCACATGTACTTGGCTTCTGAATTTGTTTCTGAAAGTTTTTTTAATTGCGTCGTATATTTAACGCAGTTTGTAAAATAATTTAAATTTCTTAAGGTGGCAACTACAAGTAGGTGACATAATTTTTGATGAAATATGACTTTAATAATACTCTTCGATAGCTTTTTCGTTACATCTTATACTTGGAACATATTCGTTACAATTTTCATATATACGTTTTTCGACATATGGCAACACTATTTCACAAAATGTTTAAATGTCACAAAGGATGCACTTGTATGTATGTATTTGAACACCTTTTCTTGAACAGCTTTGGTTTTGCTACATTTTTATGTTATTTATAGTTCTATTTCTTCTATAAGTGACAATTCTTTTTTAAAAAAAAGTGTACATTATAGGTTTTTACAGTTTTTACAGTTTTTTTTTGTATATTGCCCTATTTAGCCCGCATAAATGTATTTTAACTCCTTGGGAATCACATTTACACCTACTCATACATATATCTCTGGAAGCGATTGAGGTTCACAATAAAGAGTACCTGAATATGTTTTTTCACTATCTTTGATTATTATAAATAATAAAATACATTATAAGATCTAAATTAATAGCACATTCCTCTTGCTCAAATTACGTAATTTCCCCAGCACCCTGTGTTCTGCCCATTTCCATATCTTCCACGATTTCTTTCCCCCATACTCGTTCATATACACGATTTTCGCTGACTCACATCTATTTTACACTCATACACTTGTAATAGCTGCTCGCTAAATATTTTTTGCTGTTATGTGGTTTACTTTAATGTCATTTTCCTTATGTAGCATGCAACCCCATGCTAACCCGTGTTGTTTTGTTTGCGTTGCTATTGTAATGATAATGGTTTTTCTAAGCGTTTCATTAAATACGTTTTTCATAATAATGTTCTGAGGCAACAGGTGCGTCGCATAGACAAACGCTGCAACGACCAGGGGTGTGTAGCAATCAAGTTAAAAGAGATAGTTAAGAAATGTGAAAAATGGGTGTAGATGTACTTAAGGGCACAGCAAATAATGCTTGTTGCAGTAATCGGTATTACTTCAACTGGGTAAATGGGCCATAAAATTTGTATAAATTAGAACCTACAGGTATCTAGGACCGCCACAAAGCGAAAAAATGCTTCAGAAGCATTAAAGCTATTTATTAATTTAATTCTCAGAAATCGTAATCTCATAAGGTCAGTGGGATCCTGCTTTCACTGAAGGATTATTAGAGTGCCATCACAAAGGAACGCAACCGATATAATATTGTAATATATTGTTGGCAAAAGTTAAACTTGAGTTCTGATGACTTTTCGAGAACTTTAAATCATCCTCAGCATCTGTGGAGCCAACCTGGGAGATATATGTGTATAAATAAACAGCGTGTGTATACCCTATATGCGAACTAGTCAGAGATATCAAGCTGAAATTTTGCACGCGCTCTCTTCTTCACATACAGCTGTTCATTTCTTGTAACCG